GAAGGAGGCCTTATTCTTAGAAATAAACCTGATATTTAGTCTGTACAACTGTCATAATGCAGCATTAAAATAGGCAAATCTTTACCTATCTGAACAAAATGATTAAAGAAAGTATTGGCAGCCGCGAGATTATCCACGAATAACAACACCGATTATAAATAATCAACTAATCACAACACGTATAACAGATAATGAACCAGTCACAACACGTATTACAGAGAATAAACTAGTCATAACAAGTTTAAGAGATAATCAACTAGTCACAACACGTATAACAGAAAATCAACTAGTCACAACACGTAAAGCAGATAATCAACTAGTCACAACACGTATAACAGATAATCAACTAGTCACAGCACGTATAACATATAATCAATTAATCACAACACGTATAACAGATAATAAACTAGTCACAACACGTTTAACAGATAATCAATTAATCACAACACGTATAACAGATAATAAACTAGTCACAACACGTTTAACAGATAATCAACTAATCACAACACGTATAACAGATAATCAACTAGTCACAACACGTATAGCAGATAATCAACTAGTCACAACACGTATAGCAGATAATCAACTAGTCACAACACGTATAACAGATAATCAACTAGTCACAACACGTATAACAGAAAATCAATTAGTCACAACACGTATGGCAGAAAATAAACTAGTCACAACACGTATAACAGATAATCAACTAGTCACAACACGTTTAACAGGTAATCAACTAATCACAACACGTATAACAAATAATCAACTAGCCACAACACGTATAACAGATTATCAACTAGTCACAACACGTATAACAGATAATCAACTAGTCACAACACGTGTAACAGATAATCAATTAATCACAACACGTATACCAGATAATCAACTAGTCACAACACGTATAACATATATTTAATCAGTCACAGCACGTATAGCAGATAATCAACTAGTCACAACACGTATAACACATAATCAACTAGTCACAATACGTATAACAGATAATCAACTAGTCACAACACGCGTAACAGATAATCAATTAATCACAACACGTATACCAGATAATCAACTAGTCACAACACGTATAACATATATTTAATCAGTCACAGCACGTATAGCAGATAATCAACTAGTCACATCACGTATAACACATAATCAACTAGTCACAATACGTATAACAGATAATAAACTAGTAACAACACGTCACAACACGTTTAACAGATAATCAACTAGTCACAGCACGTATTACAGATAGTAAACTAGTCACAACAAGTATAACAGATAATCAACTAGTCACAACACGTGTAACAGATAATCAATTAATCACAACACGTATACCAGATAATCAACTAGTCACAACACGTATAACATATATTTAATCAGTCACAGCACGTATAGCAGATAATCAACTAGTCACAACACTTATAACAGATATTTAATCAGTCACAACACGTATAGCAGATAATCAACTAGTCACAACACTTATAACAGATATTTAATCAGTCACAACACGTATAGCAGATAATCAACTAGTCACAACAAGTATAACAGATAATCAACTAGTCATAACACGTTTTAGAGATAATCAACTAGTCACAACACGTATAGCAGATAATCAACTAGTCACAACACGTATAGCAGATAATCAACTAGTCACAACACGTATAACAGATATTTAATCAGTCACAACACGTATAACAGATAATCAACTAGTCACAATACGTATAACAGATAATAAACTAGTCACAACACGTATAACAGATAATCAACTAGTCCAGTCACAACACGTATAACAGATAATCAACTAGTCCAGTCATAACACTTATAACAGATACTCAACTAGTCACAACACGTATAACAGATAATCAACTAGTCACGTCACAACACGTATAACAAATAATCAACTAGTCCAGTCACAACACGTATAACAGATAATCAACTAGTCACAACACGTATAACAGATAATCAACTAGTCACAGCACGTATAACATATCATCAATTAATCACAACACGTATAACAGATAGTAAACTAGTCACAACATGTTTAACAGATAATCAATTAATCACAACACGTATAACAGATAATAAACTTGTCACAACACGTTTAACAGATAATCAAATAATCACAACACGTATAACAGATAATCAACTAGTCACAACACGTATGGCAGAAAAAAACCTAGTCACAACACGTATAACAGATAATCAACTAGCCACAACACGTATAACAGATTATCAACTAGTCACAACACGTATAACAGATAATCAACTAGTGTCACATCACGTATAACATATAATCAATTAATCACAACACGTAAAACAGATAATCAACTAGTCACAACACGTATGGCAGAAAAAAACTAATCACAACACGTATAACAGAAAATCAACTAGCCACAACACGTATAACAGATAATCAACTAGTCACAACACGTATAACAGAAAATCAACTAGTCACAACACGTATGGCAGAAAAAAAACTAGTCACAACACGTATAACAGATAATCAACTAGCCACAACACGTATAACAGATAATCAACTAGTCACAACACGTATAACAGATATTCAACTAGTCACAACACGTTTAACAGATACTCAACTAATCACAACACGTATAACAGATAATCAACTAGCCACAACACGTATAACAGATTATCAACTAGTCACAACACGTATAACAGATAATCACCAAGTCACAACACGTATAACAGATAATCAACTAGTCATAACACGTATAACAGATAATCAACTAGTCACAACACGTTAAACAGATAATCAACTAATCACAACACGTATAACAGATAATCACCTAGCCACAACACGTATAACAGATTATCAACTAGTCACAACACGTATAACAGATAATCACCAAGTCACAACACGTATAACAGATAATCAACTAGTCCAGTCACAACACGTATAACAGATAATCTAGCAGATAATCAACTAGTCACAACACGTATAACAGATAATCAACCAGTCACAACACGTATAACAGATAATCAATTAATCACAACACGTATACCAGATAATCAACTAGTCACAACACGTATAACATATATTTAATCAGTCACAACACGTATAGCAGATAATCAACTAGTCACAACACGTATAACAGATATTTAATCAGTCACAAGACGTATAACAGATAATCAATTAATCACAACACGTATACCAGATAATCAACTAGTCACAACACGTATAGCAGATAATCAACTAGTCACAACACGTATAACAGATACTCAACTAGTCACAACACGTATAACAGATAATAAACTAGTCACAATACGTATAACAGATAATAAACTAGTCACAACACGTCACAACACGTTTAACAGATAATCAACTAGTCACAGCACGTATTACAGATAATAAACTAGTCACAACAAGTATAACAGATAATCAACTAGTCATAACACGTTTAAGAGATAATCAACTAGTCACAACACGTATAACAGATAATCAACTAGTCATAACACGTTTAATAGATAATCAACTAGTCACAACACGTATAACAGATACTCAACTAGTCACAACACGTATAACAGATATTTAATCAGTCACAAGACGTATAACAGATAATCAATTAATCACAACGCGTATAACAGATAATCAATTAATCACAACACGTATAACAGATAATCAACTAGTCCAGTCATAACACTTATAACAGATACTCAACTAGTCACAACATGTATAACAGATAATCAACTAGTACAGTCACAACACGTATAATAGATAATCAACTAGTCCAGCCACAACACGTATAAAAGATAATCAACTAGTCACAACACGTATAATAGATAATCACCTAGTCCAGTCACAACACGTATAACAGATATTCAACTAGCCCCAACACGTATAACAGAGAATGAACCAGCCAGAACACGTATAACAGATAATCAACTAATCACAACACGTATAACAGATAATCAACTAGTCCAGTCACAACACGTATAACAGATATTCAACTAGTCCCAACACGTATAACAGAGAATGAACCAGTCAGAACACGTATAACAGATAATCAACTAATCACAACACGAATAACAGAGAATGAACCAGACAGAACACGTATAACGGATAATAAACTAGTCACAATACGTATAACAGATAATCAACTAGTCCAGTCACAACACGTATAGACAATAATCAACTAGTCCAGTCACAACACTTATTACAGATACATGTACTCAACTAGTCACAACACGTATAACAGATAATCAACTAGTCCAGACACAACACGTATAATAGATAATCAGCTAGTCCAGTCACAACACTTATAACAGATACTCAACTAGTCACAACACGTATAACAGATATTCAACTAGTCACAACACGTATAACAGAGAATGAACCAGTCACAACACGTATAACAGATAATCAACTAATCACAACACGTATAACAGATCATCAACTAGTCACAACACGTATAATAGATAATCAACTAGTCCAGTCACAACACTTATAACAGATACTCATCTAGTCACAACACGTATAACAGATAATGAACTAGTCCAGTCACAACACGTATAATAGATAATCAACTAGTCCAGTCACAACACGTATAACAGATATTCAACTAGTCACAACACGATAACAGAGAATGAACCAGTCAGAACACGTATAACAGATAATTAACTAAACACAACACGTATAACAGATCATCAACTAGTCCAGTCACAACACGTATAACAGATAATCAACTAGTCACAACACGTATAATAGATCATCAACTAATCACAACACGTATAACAGATACTCAACTTGTCACAACACGTATAACAGATCATCAACTAATCACAACACTTATAACAGATAATCAACTTATCACAACACGTATAACAGATATTCAACATATCGCAACACATATAACAGATAATCAACTTATCACAACACTGATTGCAGAAAATCCACTTATCACAACACTGATAATAGAGAATCTATTAATTACAACACTTGTTTCAGATATCTCATTAATCATAACAAAGGCATTCTTTACCGGTCTGTGTTGTAAACGGACACTGTATAGTGGCGACACTTCCTGCTCGAGTGTAGTTCCAGCAGCCACCCAGACGGTCCATGGTGGCATTGCAGTACTGATAACCTAAAATACAAAACATACTTAAAGATTAAAGGGACAACTACATGTAACACAATCATCAAAACAACCATATCACACTTAGCAATTCACTGGGTCGTTAATAACACAAATGATATTTCAACAATCAGATAGCGAGAGCAACCCATTCGAATTTAACTAATATGTTAACAGTCATCAAAGGGGTTTTTCCCCAAAAGGATACTAATAAAACAGGTTTCATTTGGTAGAGTAACACTACTAATTTGTTACTGAGATGCCCACTGGTATGCCAGCCGTCATAGTTTTGTCATATTTGTAAGTTTACTCAAGAGTCGACATTTCTAAGCGAGTATTTCTAATTCTTGGACGTGTTAGTAAATAACAGATGTAGGGCAAGTGCATATCTCGTCACTGTTTCAATCAGCGTACGTAATAGTGTCAAAAATTGTCATACTAAGTAGAAAAAAAAACATTTTAGGCATGTCTTTATTTATTTGCTTATTTGAGAAATTATATGAACAAAACATACATGAAATATGATTCTAGCACATAAATAAAACGAGATGATAAATAACAAGCATTAAGAAACCGTTCTTCTTTTTTTTTTATCTTCGACGATAATATTTACACATTTGACTTACTGCTTGAAAAAGAAATAAATGTGATCCTGGCTTTTCAACATGTATTTGGATTTCAGATACAGCTGTGATGACAGGAAATGCAAACCCTTGATAAATTGTGAAAATATATTTTTTCCTTTTTGTCTCGTAAAATAAAGCTTGCTTTGAACAACTGTGCTCGTGTGTTAATTTGTTAGACACACCAATGGTTATTCTAATGCATGGAACACATTCTTACTGCCTTTACGCATGCAACAATCTTAAACTATTAATAATGCCACAATTGTGAATTCAAACCGCGTGAAAGGAGGAATACTTCTCACACAGGAGACGCAGTGGTGATACCGACATGGTTTCAATATGACTATAATGGAGGAACTGGTGAAAAGAAAACAATAATTGAAATTCATCTATATTTATTGTCTATATTTTTAATACATAATTTAGAATTTCATATTTATATGATATTTTAATGATACAATTAATCTGATATTAACATTTCATTTTAGGATCCCCGTACATGGTACCACCGCCAAAAACTCTAACTGAGAATTGAAAAATATTTTTTCTCTAGCATGACTATAACTATGATCATTCACATGTATAAGAAAACTTCCTTTTTAAAAAAAAAAATGGGACTTTCATGGAAAACTGTTAAAGATGCAATGATTAGAATATCATCAACAGCAGTGCTCAGAGTGTAAATATCTAACTAGGCTACACCGGGGTTCGAATCCTCTCGCCGACTGTGCTAACAGGTCAACGGAAGTGACCTGGCTCACCTGTGCTATTTTTATACCCAAAACGAAAACAAGGATGTTACTGTATATGCGACACCAGTGCGATGGGACAGGGATCCTAATTGAGAATCAAATCGAGTAATGTGTTATTAAAAGTAAGATAATTTCAGTTCAAGATACGTTTAAATACATATATTATACAATATCAATACCGATAAGAAACGGAAATAATTTCTGTATGAACGGTAAAAGTTTTGCTTTTTATCTGTGTAAATAATACTGAACATATATTTGAAAATTTGCTTCTGCTTTATTTCGGGAGAACGGCACCGCTTATATGTGACGTGCAATCAATGACTGGAAAAGGTAGATATAGGTTCATTGGAACTTTAGTAACTATATTGACAAGCATATAAACATCGGAAAACTCCGGTGTTTATCTAAACATATAATAACACCGATATTGACGAGCATTCAAATATCGAACAGGTTCGGTATCCGTCGTAATAGGTACTGCAATGTTGTATTGCAAAACCTGTCTCGGCAAATTTTGAGCCTTCTCCCGACTTATTATGAACTTTTGTCAACACTGAAGATGGTCGGGAAGTGGTCGCGTTAAATAATGTATAAGAACGAGTCAATCAGAGCCTGACGTTGTTCTTCATGAAAGGTGGTTTTTATATTTTTGTTATTTTGGTTTTAAGTATTTTTTCTTGAGTAAAAACTACATATCATCTGTAATTACCTATACCAGTAATAATTACTTATAAATACAGGATTGTTTTCTATATATGCGATACGTGAACAACAGTATGTTAAAAAAATATAAAGGATCCGTATTGCCCGCCAATAGCCAGGTATGATTTATCTGTGAGATTTCCCACATGGGAACTATTTTCAAACGTTCGGAACATCTCTCGATTTTCTCATGAGATAGTTCTCACATTTTCCAACTGAAAGATCCCAAGTCAACGTTTGACTTTGTCGATATTATGAGGAATATCAACAGCGTAAGGAAAAAAATGCCGATTTGTTAAAACTACCCAATCATCATACCAGAAAGTTTGACGAAACACAATGTTAATGCATAGTTAGTCTAAACCATTTACTGTGTAGCTGTAATACACGTGGTCAATGTAGTGTGGACACACGTCCATGAATGTGCATAGAGATGCAATGAATATAAATAAGTCTGGAGCACACAATGTCAAATCCAGATAATACACAATTGAATTGTTTATCTGACACGTTACTGCACAAATTCTTCATCGGCAGCTTTCTAATCGCATATGAAATCAAATTGCGTGTCTTTGTTGGCCGGCTAGGATCAATGGATGGGTATTCTAATAATATTTTAATTGGATGCCTGCTTTTGTTTCAGATGTTTATCTTCACCATCTGAGAAAAGCGGCAATATTACTGTTTTCAAATGGTAACCATGCTATCGACCAACTCGTGTGTCTGGACATGGTCTCTTTGTTGATAGTGCGGTTGATGAAATTCGTTTCGTTTTATTTACAGACTGACTAGAATGGAGACGGCCTTCTTTTGTTAGGAAAAGCTGACCCTTTCACACCAACGGGACAAAGACAAAAACAGCCATGGGCGTCAGAACCAATTTAGAGATACGTTTTGAGTAAATAATAAAAATAATAATAATAAAACTGTTGACCAATGTTGGTTAATATATTGTTATTTTTAAATTATTTGTATTGCATTGCAATTATTGGTATATTGGTTATTCAAGGTTTTAAATGAATCTTTTAAACATTTTGCAATGGTATGCCGAACTTGAGGTTTTTGAAGTAAAACCAATTTTCATGATGTAATACTTACCATAACTTTAGTATGCATATACAATACCTACACCCATCTTTGTAGCCCAAAAACAAAAGATTCAAATATCCCTACCTCCCTACCGTGACGTAACCTCTATCTCGATGACAGAGCCACGGAGTGATCTCCCTTCCTCAAACCCCCTTTTATGGAGCCTAAAGGCAGCCAGGATGAGGAGGCAAGGGGAGGAATACAGGGTGGGACTCCATAAAGTTATGGTAAGTATTACATCATGAAAATTGGTTTTACTTCAAAAACCTCAATTTCATTTCAGTAATAATTACCATAACTTTAGTATGCGAATTCGTCTTACCGTAGTGGAGGCTTCGAATCCAGGCAGACCAGGCTGACGGAACAAACTCGAGACATGCTCAAGGTAGGGAAAAGGTTCAAGGAACCCCCCTAATAAAGCCCCGAAAGTAATTAAAAAATGGAAAACCTCCCCGTGAAACGAGCAGGTGTACCACCGTGGTGCCTGATAGCATACTATTTAAAATCACTGAATTACTGTGGAGGAACAGCCACAGACTGTGCAACCACCACCGGTCCAAGGGAATACAATCCATCAGAATGAGAGGCCAAGGACCGGAGATAAAAATCCGTGAAGGTAGTCTGTCCGCGCCAGAAAGCTGCGGACATGACCTCCTGAAAGGGGGACCCATTGAGGAGGGCCCATGACGCAGCAAGGGCCCTGATCTCATGCGCCCTCACCTTATACAACGCCCGAACCTGATCATCCGAGTGGTCGTAACCGTACTTGATGACCTGACAGATCCATCTAGACACTGACTGAGAAGAGATATCCTGTTGACCCTGCTTAATGGGCAAAAACAGACGAGATCGAGGACCTCGCCCCCCCCTGGTTTTATCGAGGTAAAACCTAAGCGCCCGACAGGGACAGAGCAACCTATCCCGTTCCTCAGCTCCAACGAAGGCAGTCAAAGACGGAATCTTAATCGGATCGGGCGAGAAGCCAGGAACCTGATTCTTAGCCATAAAGGCAGGATCAGTGAGAAGGGTAACGGCAGAGTAATTCCTGGACCATCGGAGGCAAGAGGGGTGAGAAGACAAGGCATGAATCTCACTCCTCCTTCGACCTGAGGCCAGGGCAACAAGGAATACCACCTTGTAAGTAACAAACTTCAAGGAGGCAGACGCTAAAGGCTCATAAGGTGCCCGCATCAGCGATTCGAGCACCAGTGGCAAATTCCACTGCGGAGCCAACTGCCGGACCCTAGGCCTGTCCAACCCAAACCCCCTAATCAAGGCAGAAAGAGAGGAGGACGAGCCTACCTCCGACCTACCATGAACAGAGAGAACACTAGCAATGGCCGTGCGATAACCAGCGATAGTGCCAGGGGCAAGATTGCGGTCCCTAAACAGCCAAAGAAGGAAGTCCGCAATCACCTGGACAGTAGCCTTGATCGGATCAACCTTCCTGCCGACACACCAATCACAGTAAATCTTCCATCGTGACTGGTAGACGGCAGATGAGGAAGCCCTAATTGATCGAGCGATGCGATCTGACACGTCCCTAGAAAAGCCCGCCTGAGCGAGGCCTCCTGAGATAGCTTCCACGCGTGAAGGTGGAGGATCTCCGGACGAGAGTGCATCGTCCTGGAACGAGGCTGGCGAAGGAGGTTCGCTCTGAGAGGAAGAGCCAGGGGCTCTTCCACCAGAAGCGACAAAAGCTCCGGAAACCAAGGCTGCCTCGGCCACAGGGGCGCTATCAGGAGGAGGGAACACTGATGCTCCCGAAACTTCTGCAGCACCCTGCCCACCATGTTGAAGGGTGGGAATGCATATGCATGCATTCCCTCCCAATCCA